ACAGGTGTGGGATGAAAACAGGTAACGGGAGGATCTTTCTCTGTAAAGCACTGATTGCCCTACAGGTGTGTGATGAAAACAGTTTACGGGAGGATCTTTCTCTGTAAAGCACTGATTGCCCTACAGGTGTGGGATGAAAACAGGTTACGGGAGGATCTTTCTCTGTAAAGCACTGATTGACCTACAGGTGTGGGATGAAAACAGGTTACGGGAGGATCTTTCCCTGTAAAGCACTGATTGACCTTCAGGTGTGTGATGAAAACAGGTTACGGGAGGATATTATATGACTCACAACGCTATTTGCAATTACTTCAAAGTGAGTCTTCTCCTAATTGCCAGCAGGATAATGGCATCAGATGACGATCGCCAATCACATTTATCTGCATCCTTTGCGAAACGTCGTAGGCCAAATATGATTGGGATCTGTTAAGACTCAGTTGCAGCTCCAAACATAATCAACAATAATTAGTTGTCAGAAATGTATTACTATCTAATGTAAGCAGTGGTGTTGAAGTTATTTAGATGCTTTTGGAGTTAATTGTAATCTGGAATCTTCTAGTACAGCTATAGACTGATCCAGCATGACATGGAACTTTCTAGAAGGGATTTAGACAAAATAAGCGGGCAAAGAGTTTGACTCCCTCATCTCACATTACCGTAAGACTAGCGGTGATGTAAAGATCATGTTTCAACCTTGGATATCCAGTCTAGGCCTGTTACCACTGCTGTTGCATTTTATATTACAATTGTAATAATTTTTTAATTTGAAGTTTACACGATATACGGCTTTTCCATTGGACGAGAGGTCGGTCACATGACTGCGAAACACAATTTGACGTTCATACGTTTTTCACGAGACCGTGTACTTCAAATGACGTAAACACTGACGGACTACTTCCACATTCCTGGGGAAACCCCTGGGAATTCCCTAGCACGAAAACGTACATAAGCGTTCTTTCTGATCATTTAGAACCTTTATTCTTGGTCTCAGCGTTTCAGTATACATTGAGAAATGTCACAGAGCGTGACTGCATGCTTGTTCACGAATATCCTCGCTAGGGCCTATCCTAATTAACAAACGACGCTTTATTCACCTCTCAATGATCGGCCAGTTGATCATTGATGATTTTACACATGTAACCGCCACGGGTTCATTAACAACTTCGGAAATCTCTCCTGTCACGTTTATCGTGTCGGCCATTTTGACGTCTTGTACTTGATGTAAATGAATTACGACGCGCTGTCATTGCGACTGACTTACTGAGCTCATCTAATGAGGATTTGGACACATGTGCTGCGTAAGATGTTTCTGAAGAGCAAGTTGTGCATCCATACGCTCACGTCACCTCTCTTTTTGAGGAACTATTTTACTCCGCGATATAGCTGGTTGTTGTATGGCTGTAAGGATAAACATGAAGTCACACGTACTAAATAAAATTGTGTTTAGATCTTAGCCTACATACGTTCATACAGAGTGAACACACAAAGTGAAAGTCAATCCTTAATTGCCATTGAATTATGTACTGTCATTGTAATAGTACTGCAATTGAATCTTATACTGACATTGTAATTTTAAATGCCATTGGATTTTGTACTCTAAGTTGTACTGTCATTGTAATTACTTTGCAGTAATTTGTATTACTTTGTAAACCTACATAATTTTATAATTATACAATTTTTGAGTGTATAATATTTCTTTGTTATTTGTTGATTTCACACTGAGTTCTTTGGCGTATACGTTTCTGGGTTGACATATTGTTCCAATTTGGAAGTCGACACGTAACAATACATTGAAGGCTATCACAAGATTTGCTATGCATCGGAGTTAGGTTAAATATATATGTACTTTACAGTACCCCCGTGCTGACATCATCTGTGTAATCCAATCAACGGTTACAGTTTGTAGTTTGTTGACCTTGTAATCCTATGTATCAACATAATCCTCTGAGGTCCACACGTATTCTACCAACGATACCGGTGTGCCTGGATCACAACTTGGCCGCCTCCATAGTCAAGTGGATAGAGCGTCTGCTCGGGGAGGGGAAGGGCGGTGGTTCGATCCCCGGCTGCGTCATACCAAATGACGATAAAAGATGGCATTTGTTGTTCCATCACTGAAGGATAAAACAAGGACTGGTCCGCGCGGGGCCAGTATACTATGTCTCAGTTGCGTATTCATGTCAAAAGGAGGCATGGTATCTCAATGGACTAGCACTATGAAAACGGATTTAGCCCAGACTAGTATAAGCAGCCACACACACACTCTTACATGTAAGCACAGGCATGCACATGGTCAAACGTAAACACCTAAGTATGTAATTGCGTAATCGTTTTGTCACCTCCTCATTAGAATGTGTTTAAACCTAATTTATTATCTTTTTAACTTGCGCCTGTCAAACGAAGAATGATAATATTTATGTTTAGGTGTATAAAATGTGAATTGTGAAAAAAGAAAGAATTTGGAGCACGGCGTCACGTGTCACATCTTCCATTATACTGTTACCTCCACTACCCTGTATCCACCATTATTCTGTATCCACCTCTACCCTGTATCCTCCATTATTCTGTATCCACCACTGCCCTTTATCCTCCATTATTCTGTATCCACCACTACCCTGTATCCTCCATTATTCTGTATCCACCACTGCCCTTTATCCTCCATTATTCTGTATCCACCACTACCCTGTATCCTCCATTATTCTGTTTCCACCACTACCCTGTATCCTCCATTATTCTGTATCCACCACTACCCTGTATCCTCCATTATTCTGTATCCACCACTACCCTGTATCCTCCATTATTCTGTATCCACTATTGCATGTTATAACCCACTGCCCTTTTTCAACCACTACCTTGTGTTCACCACTACTCTGTTAGCACAAATGCCTTCTATCTGTGTGCAACCCAGTTAAGATCCAACTCAGAGCAGGTCTTCACCAACCCTTACTTGTAAGAGGTGAACAACGGGATTGGGTGGTCAGGCTCGCTGACTTGGGTGATGCATGTCATCGTATCCAAAATGCGTAGATCGATGCTCATGATGCCAATCATTGGATTGTCTGGTTCAGACTCGATTGTTTAAAGACCGCCATCATTGAGTTAGAACCAACCACATCATTTTGTATGGTTTTCATCTCCCTGCTCCACTTCAGAGGAAGTCAACAGGCGTGAGAAATGCCTTTGGTCCAGTTTACATGTGATATTCTGTCTGTAAGTATGCTGTAGATCCCCCAAAATGTTCCATTTGCTTTTATATCAAATGTGTCACAACTTCAATCTGTCACCTACCTGGGTCTCTCATCTGAGCCATGTTTCGTTATCGGTGTGCAATTTAACGCACACTCCCTGGGGATATATGTTATATAGATATCACTGTTTACTTTTGCATGTTCGTCTTTTGGGTCCTTTCTGAACAAATATACCATTTCAGAAAAAAAATATAAGGTGAGCTACAGAGACACGTGGCTCTATTTTAAATGGCTTAATATACATGTATGTGGGTCCATCGTTATGATCTGTGTTTGTCTTCCGGTAACCAAGGGCAACGGGAAGGTGTTGATCATTGTGGATGAACTGGACAGAGCAGAGCTGCAATCAGACATTTCACATTATAACAGATCAACCCTAACACCATTCTGTGTTTGTAACTTTCATGAATTAAAGAAACCGCAAAATCAAAATTTCAAGTAAAATATTTCTACATATGTTAATTATTGTCAGTGATTTACAACATTCTTTTCTTGATTTACACTCTCCATCCATAAAGGTAACCTAGTAATGATGTATGGTCTGGAATAAAAGAGAGCAATGTAACAGTTTCCATGATGCGATTTCTAAAGGTGTCAGAACCGATAAGAGTGTATCAATGAAGCCTGAAATCCATTCTTGTAAGCAGTTTTAGTCTCACGTCCCCGATAACCAACCACTGTTGGTATTATTGGCCGAACAGATCCCAAACTATCTACGTCTAAGGTATATAATTGTAACATTAGGTACTCAGTTATTGTGTTGCATTTGTTAATCGTAATCATCATATTATCACAGTTTATCTTCATGATGCAAACCACCTGAAACCATGCATATATCCTGCTAGTACTACTTCCTATCCCTTTGCTTCATTTAATACAGAAGTTCAAATTCAAAATAACTCAAATACTGTTATTAATAAAGTGTGTTGAGGAATATATTAGTTCAGCGTGTTTTATCTATTTCTACAACTTATCCTCCCCTCCTGCCGGTTTCATAGTGCTAGCCCACTGAGATACCACTTCCTCTATCCCCTTAATGCCGAGTGCCAGCAGGTTTATAACAAATACCATTTTTAACGTCTTTTGGTGAGACGCGCGGCAGGGCCTCGAACTACTGATCATCCGCTCTCCGGGCAGACGCTCTTTCCACGAGACCACGGACGCAGTCAGCTTATTAGAAATAAGATTGGTGTTCATTATGTGAATATCGACAAAACCCTTACTGATTGACTGACATAATTTATGCATGTACCCTATTACTAAAGTTCTCATGTACTGGCAACGCTCTTGCTTTTAATTGGCACATATGATTTAGTAACGACCCTTTGTACGTTCACGACAATTATGCTAGGTTTGAGATCCTGAAGGTTCAAACTTCTGACATCTCGGTTTCATATATTTTTTCTAACATTGGGTCATTCTTTTTTCCTCAGATGTAGAACACCAGCATGCATGTTTTGGTTTAGCTCTGATTCTACAAGGTGTTATTTGAGTACGTGAGTACGTTTCGCAATCCTAAACCCATGAAACCAACAAGGTTGTCTAAAAATCGACCATTGTGATAATTGGTTATTGACATTTCATGGGTCTTGTTGGTAATTGCAAACGTTTCTAAAGAGTGTTAATACATTATTCACCAACCATCTTCATTTTTATTACATACAAAAACTCCATTTGCAAATATTTTCCCCAATTATGCACGAGTATAAGTAACAATTATCTGTCACGTATGCAATGATTTAGTTGTGAAGTATTCTCAATACGATGTGGAAGATAGCAGCGTTCTCCTTGGTCCTCGCTGTTAGTGTCAAATCGAATGTTGGTGATTGTGCGTCTATATGTGCTGACTTTACCAGACTTCCACAAGTGAAAATGAATACTAATCTCGTAAAATCTCCGCATCGTCATACAAGTGCTACCTTCCTGAAATGTGTGAAGATTTGCCTTGGCTGGTCCCTGTGCAAGTCCTTTGACTATGTCATGGCTGAACAGCGATGCACTCTCAACGAGAAGGACGAAACCGATCTAAAATCAACATCATTGGAGTTCGAAGAAGGGACTATATACAGGTGAGGGCATTTGTATTCTTTGCCACAGATTCTATTAAATCACCTATATGATGACAAAACCATATGCATAAGAAATATCTGGCAAAAACGATTATAATCATGAGCAAGTGTGTTTGAATCACTATCAAACTATCCAATTTGAGCGTATCACGCCCCACCGGTGCCACCCGTCCCAAACACATGCAAAGGCAAGTCAATTGTTCACCTGAAATCACGGCAACATGTGGTACACGACAAAATAGGGACTTTGCATCGGACATCATTTTTGTCACTGGTGTGTCAAATTTGGAAATGTCCATCACATGTCTACCATAAAAAGAATACTTTACTGAGGCGTCAAACAACTTCTGACGCTCTTTGAAATCTTTGCAGAAAGAACATGCTCGGTTGTACCTCAAAAGTTGTGAAATGTTGACACCAAGGACAGGAGCTGCAGGGATATTGCTCGACATAAAGAGAAAGTTGACTATTGGAAAGTTTAAATATAATCGGGTTAATTCTATTAACTGGTCTTAGTAATTCCATACAAGTTCTGTTCTGTCTGTTGGTGTCTGTTGTCTAAGGCACCAGAATTCACTGACAGAGTCTAACAGGCAAACGACGAGTGGGTTATTTTGAAGCGAGGTTTTGAAACGTCTTTAGATGCTCAGTCAAAACATAAGGAACGTGAATGTGCTTATTTGCGCTTCTCAGCAATATTTCAGGATATTTAACGAGAATGTATTTTAGTTGTCAATTATTTCTAAACACATACATCATGGTAATGCGTATTTCTGTGATGCTATACAATAATCCGTGTAAAGTTTACGTCATGCACAGTATAAGTAAGTTCACTTTTCACGATTTGCTGATGATAACATCGATCTGTTAATGAAAACATCGATCTGTTAATGAAAACATCGATCTGCTAATGGAGCAGAAATCACACACCGTTTTCCACTGCCAGCAAGCTCCTAGTTTATTCAGTGACAAAATCGACTGTTGTTACAATGAGATTACATAGTTACTATAGTTAATCCGCCATGCCATGACAGATTAACTTCAGTAATATGAAAGAATCGGGTGATCCTTGACTTCTTTTGAGTAGTATAGTGCCAGCCACAATCATTTCCCAGTCCATCATTACAAGATCAATTACAAAATCAATGTCAAGAACATGTCCGAAAATCGAAGTTCGATTTGCACACAAACTGACCGCTCTCCGGCGGTGGATGAATCGAAGGGCGTTGTCTAATGACGTCACGTAACTTCCATGTAAGTTTTATCCTCCGTTGTTTGTAATTTTTATTGAGCGTATGCTGGACGGATATTATCATGCCAAGGACAAATTCCATCCATTTTAGTCCTAATAACGGTAACGGAAGGAATAGTAGAAGGGACATTGTCTCATTTATGCACAAATTATCGCCTTTATACAAATTTTAGATGGGACGACAATTGGACAACGCCACGTTTGACCTTGATGTCGCCTTGTCGCTTTGTCGCCCTTTGACAGAAAAATTTGATTCAAAACGCGACAATGCGACAATTGGTGAAAACGTCGCGCTTTCATAAATTTGTCACGTTGTATTGCTTTTGTAAGGGCGGCTTTAATAACGCTATTTTTCAGGGCTTTTTCATTCTGGAAATTAAATAATATACCATTATCGCGTAACGTGCAATCACGATAAATATGAGGTGACCCAGGAAGAAATTATTTTATTTGTATACGAAGACTGAAAAGTATTGCCTAATGTTCCTAATAACCTATGATATGGGTTTCCTGAAGCGTTGTTTTATCAAACATGGCGCGCTATAACTCATTTGGGATTATATGTGTTTGTTTGTATGATGGTTGGTTGGTAAACGTCGCACCCACCATTAATAGTTCTGCTATATGACCACGGTCTGGAAATAATCGAGTGTTTACCAGACAATCAAGTTATTGATACCACGAGCATTGATCAACCCATTTTGGGCACGATGATCACGGAATTCAGCGAGCCTCGTCACCCGATCCCGTAATCGCCTCTTACCACAAGCAAAGGTTGCTGACCACCGATATGGTATCTTAATATACTACTCAAAGTTTGCTGAGGATCAAGTTTTGGTGATCACCCACCAAATAAAGATTGAAATATTCCGGTACACAATGATTGGGTAACCCCAAACGAACCTAGATTTCATGATGCACGGATAGAGGCTCGCAGTCATGGGCACGATGTGCACAAGGTGCTTGAAAACCTATATTTGGGGGTATGGTGACCCCGAATCGTAGCAAAGCATTATCAGAGAGCACGGCACTATTTGCCGATAATGACCGCTATGGAAGGGGTTAAATCATGATTTGGGTTTGGATCAATAGAGCTTGGAAAACCTCCATTTCCTTCAACGGGGCACGATGACAGGTGTGGGTTGAGTGCAATCGGGCGGGACTTCATCCTCATGGACGATAAGGCACGACCTCATCGTGCCAGGGTCATTGATGCCTACTTAGGGCAGGAGACCGTTGCCCGCATGGAGTGCCCAGCTTGGTCACCAGACCTCAACCCTATCAAATAACTCTATCGACCTCAAACCGTCCGGCAACTCTACAGGAAATTAGTAGTGATTTTACTGAAGAGTAGGGCGATCTTTCCTTGGCGATAATCCAGACACTTAGTGGGAGCATAAGACGACGGTGCCAGGATGTGATCGCATGACGTGGATCACATATGCACTTATGGGGGGAAGGTTTTCTTGAGTTTTGACGTTTCAGTTTTGGTAAGACACTCGGAATATTGTTAAATAGTGTTAACCATACCCACTCACTCACTTAGATAAGTATACGGAAATCAGATCTAATGTCAAGAGTCTCAGAAACAATAATTTATAGAAATGTCAAACAATTTTGACATGAAACCGAAAACTGCCAGTTTCATGAACTTATCGAATACTACTACGTGTATGACAAGCAATCGGTAAGACGACGGTGCCAGGATGTGATCGCATGACGTGGATCACATATGCACTTATGGGGGGAAGGGTGTTTTCTTGAGTTTTGACGTTTCAGTTTTGGTAAGACACTCTCATTTTGACGGGTGATTTGACTGATTATTGGTCACATGGTGTTTATTGGCATTGTCTGGCACATGACAACATGCCTTCACGCAATATTGTGTCTTGCTATTTGAAAAGATGCACACATAAAGATTACCATATAAAGTGATGATCCTTAGCACACTTTGAGTAGAATATGTATTCGTCCAAAAAGCGAACATATATGTCATATTAGCCAATAACATGTCGTTTAAATCCTAACCCAGTGCGCATGATGAGCATTGTGATACCGGATTATATGTTGACCTTCATGTACACGATTACATGGCTGTCAAAAAGATCAAGCAAGATAACTGTCCTCTGGTACTCCAGCTCGCTTCACAGCCCGACTCTGACCAAACGCCATGTCATCTTTGGATAAAATGAAAAATGTATATATCCGCTGTCTGCGTAAAGTGGAATCCCCATGCGTCGTTCCAAAGACGACATTGTGACTGCGTCCATAAGTAATGTAAGCAATTTTCTAGTTTCCGAGCCAGTAGTCCTTCGAAAGGTCCCCAAATCCATCTTTAAATTCTTGCCATGACTGGTTGAAATTGGTGGACCCATATACACGTCTTTGAATGAATGTGTTGCCCTCATTACTCATTCTACACCAGACTTTGAATGGGGTAGGCGACATATCTGGCTGAATTATGTATACTCCTGCTCCCGAATAACGATATGTGCTGTATCCTTCCGATCTTGGCTGGTATAATGGAGTTATATTTTAGCTGGACTAACGAATCTAAGCATAGTCCAATTAAAATCGCGGAAAGAAATCGCAATCCTGTTCGTAAACTGTCGTGTAGATTTCGGTCGATTGCAGGATTTGCAAAGTATGTGCACAGCCAAATCTTTGCATGTTTTTAATCAAGGTGCTCACGTGATTTCACGCATTTCGCGATGTAAGACACGTTTTATCACAATACAGATCTTGATTACTTTGGTCTTCTTTCGGAGATTATGTCAGAACTGTCACCAACTGGTCAGTTTCACACTACTGTTTTCTGGTTCACTCCAATAGTTCATGTAGTCTTTGCTGTTGCGACATTGTAATTGATAATAATTCTAATATTGAATACACTTGTTAGATTATACCATCATTTTGTGTTTTATGTTGTATACTACTCAACTTTAGATTAGAGACGATGTGATATTGTCGGAATATTGTTAAATAGTGTTAACCATACCCACTCACTTAGATAAGTATACGGAAATCAGATCTAATGTCAAGAGTCTCAGAAACAATAATTTATAGAAATGTCAAACAATTTTGACATGAAACCGAAAACTGCCAGTTTCATGAACTTATCGAATACTACTACGTGTATGACAAGCAATCGGTATCATATAGTCCCCACATGAACTCAGATCCCGTTATTTTCATTTCAGTTCCATCTCACTGTGGGAAAGACGTTTCTCTGGGGTCTGTGACGGCCATGTCTGCGCTGACAATGACTACTGCTATGTCACCAGAGACGGCACAGCGGACTGTGCACATTTTCCTTAGTTGATGTATCTCGATCGCGATTTCTATTTCTATTTGCGTGTTTGAACTGTCAGCAATATATATAATTCGCCTTGTGGGCCATTACATTATCACATATGCATGGTTGTTTGTTTGTTCATCTTGTTTGTTCATTTGTTGGTTGTTTAACGCCGCACTATTTCAGCTATATGACGACGGTCTGTAAATAATGGGAGTCTAAACCTAACAATCCAGTGATTGATATCATGATCATCGATGTACGTAATTGGGATACGATGACATGCATCAACCAAGTCACTACCCGATCTTACAACAAGCATAGTCACCTCTTGTGACAAACATGAGTTGATGAAGGCATGTTCTAACCCGGATCTTCACGGGTCTAGGTATATATTAATAATAATAATATAATATAAATTCTTATTTTGAAGTTTAGGGGATTTCCGATGATTTGGTTGGTTTATTTGCTGATCCACATGACCTGTTCATTTATCACCAAACTTCAAAAAGTTTACAAAGTATAAACTTCACCTTTTGACGTTTACACGATTTTTGATAGGAACTACTTTTCATGGGGAATCGCCGAGTGAAACCATTCTCTGTTCTCTCCCCTGCTGACCACGATCGTGAGGATCCGCAATGTCGGACAATAAATTAACGTTTCTTATTAACTCAAGGTGTCATTAAACAGTTATTAACATATTCGCATTACTTACATGGCACATTTATGTATGTACGATCTTTGAATCAAGGAACGTCTCCAAGTACAATCCCGCATACTGATGTCGGTGGACACACCATTTTGTAAAAGTTGATCACCGGTTGTGATGTCTTACGTCAACATATATTGTACATATCTAGTAACGTCTTTGAGGTGAAGGTCGGGTGAAAAAGCAAATTCATTTCTGATGATAAATTAATAAAGTAACGCTCGTTGATTAACAATGCGGTTTTTTATATTATGGAGTTTAAACTACTTTGTTTTGCGTAAATGTGAAGAATATATCTGCTAGTGGGTCACTGCCTACCAATGTAAGCGGTAACGTAACTCGTCTAAAATGTGCGTCACAGTAAAACTGGCATCCCTTAAACTTGAGACCCGGGGTAGAATAGGTCTTCAGTTACCCATTCTGGCCGTAAAAGGCGACTATGCTTGTCGTAAGAGGCGACTGATAGGATTGGGTGGTCAGGCTCGCTGACTTGGTAGATGCATGTCATCGTATCCCGATTGCGTGGATCGATGCTCATGATGGCAATCACTGGATTGGCTGGTCCAGATTCGATTATTTACAGACCGCCGTCATATAGCTGGAATATTGCTGAGTGCGGCATAAAACAACAAACCAACCAACCCTTAAACATGAAAATACGAATTCAGTCAGATGCATAGCAAAATACAAGACCTCAACGCCAGAAAATAACCAGTCTCGATTATCCAACGAAACATATCAACGCCGCTTGACAGTATAATGTGATTAGAGACTCTGGTTTGGTGATATGAAACTCGCATATAAGATGCCGCGTACATATATATTGAAAGAAGCGTAAGTATAATATATGAATAACTCGCATTCTTTACAGCCGTGTGAAATCCTGTCTTGAATGTGCTCTGTTGTGGATGTATATTGTACAATTTAAATCATCTATTATACCCCGCAGCATAACTCAAAACCGTTCAATATTTCTGAGTCAAACTTTACAGCCGTGTGAAATCCTGTCTTGAATGTGCTCTGTTGTGGATGTATATTGTACAATTTAAATCATCTATTTTACCCCGCAGCATAACTCAAAACCGTTCAATATTTCTGAGTCAAACTTTGTACAGTTCATTCTAGCCATGAACCTTTTTATTTATAAATCCTATATTAGAAATTTCTATTTTTGTACGGTTTCCATGACATCAAACTGGACTGAAATGAGGGTAGGGTTTATTTCTGGGAGGATTACTTAAGGACCGTCCACTATTTCCGAAACAAACTGTATACACAGATATCAGTCCAGCCTTAAACTGGTGCCTTTTTTTGGTGTTTAACAATGTTTGAAATTGATATTTTTCCAGTGCTGTTTATGAATGTTAGACAATGTAATTATTTCCTGTTTCAAGCTAAAAGAAGTTGCAGTGATAGGATGTTTTAAGATATATGTGTTTGTTATTGGGACATCATATTGGAAGGTATGATCACTAGCATAAGTTTCACCGTATTTCATATGCCTTTTAACGAGTCTGCAGTGATATCGGTGATCTCAATGATATGGGCCAGTTGATGTTTTGGATAGCTGGCCATTTTGGGATGTGTGTGCATCTTGGTATAACTGACAATGCTTGCACAAATGTACCAAACGTTCCTATGTAACAGGGGGCACGGGTGGCCCAGTCGTCTAAGGCGCCGCGATTCGCTGTGCAGAGTTGCGTCCCTTGGGCACGCCAGAAACCTATGATTGTGGGTTCGAATCCTGGTTCGCCCCAGTTATGTTTCTAGGTTTGTCAGCACCATACCCGTGCTCGTGGGTTTCACCGAAGTGGTAAACGTCTGAGACCTGCATCACTTCGGGCTTCCCTCCCACATTAAGCTGACACGCCGTGATATAACTGGAATACTGTTAAAAGCGGCGTTAAACCCAACTCACTCACTCACTCACTCACTCACTCACTCACCCACCCACCCACCCACTCACTCACTCACTCACTCACTCACCAACTCACTCACTCACTCACTCACTCACTCACCCACCCACCCACCCACCCACTCGCTCGCTCGCCCGCCCGCCCACTCACTCACTCACCCACCCACCCACCCACCCACTCGCTCGCTCGCTCGCCCGCCCGCCCACCCACCCATCTACCAACCCACTCACTCACTCACTCACTCAGCCACCCACCCACCCACCCACTCACTCACTCACTCACTCACTCACTCACTCACCCACCCACCCACCCACTCACTCACTCACTCACTCACTCACTCACTCACTCACTCACTCACTCACCCACCCACCCACCCACCAACTCACTCAGTCACTCACTCACTAACTCACTCACTCACCCACCCACTCACTCACTCACTCACTCACCCACCCACCCACTCACTCACTCCTTTGTAACAGCACACCAAGTGGTTGTGTTGACATCGCTTTGGGCTGAGCTTACAAACCTTACATGGGTCACATGTGTTCAAATGTGTCTTAATTGACGAAGTTGTAAGTCTGTGGACTATTGCAATGAAAATTCCAAATGTTTCCTAAACAAGATGAGCAGTTCAGATCTGCAACCTTGTTATCTGATAGCAAAGACAGGTAACGTCCACACGTAAGTGACTTCTTGACTCTTCTCAATCACTCGTATCCTAACTGCATGGATTGATGCGCATGATGGATTGTCTGGTCCAGACTCGATTATTTACAAACCGCTGTATTTGTTGTTTAACGCCGCACTCAGCAATACCCCAGCTATATAAAGGCGACCTGTAGATAATGTAGACGGGGCCAAACAAAAACTGATGTTGTGAGCAACGGTTCACGCTGTCGGGGTACGGTGACACACATCAACCATGTCACCGAGCCGGACCACCCAATATAGTAAGTCGCCTCTTACGACCAGCATAGGTTGCTGAGGACCAATTCTAATCCGGAATCTTCACGGAGTTCTGAAACGTGTACTACCTGAAAACAATATAATTAATAATATGGATATTATTGATGATAGTGTACTTTACTTATCATGATTTAAAAATAATGTCTTAAAGCGTCAGTTGATGTCAACAATGATGGACTTGGCCTCCCCATTCATTACAATATTATATGGGGGCACGGGTTACCCAACCGTCTGAGGCGCAGCAATTCGCTGTGCAGAGTTGCGTCCCTTGGGCACGCCAGACACCTAAGATCATGGGTTCGAATCACTGTCCCATTGTTACGTGACAGTACAGCATCCCTCACACTGGAGCTAAACAAAATCAGTTATCTATCCTACTTTCACTAAATGCACCCATGTCATAAACCTTCCATCTTATGAACTCTCTTCTAGAGATATAGCGTCCAAATTTAAGCAATAGATGTGAGTCCAGAACATAATATTGATTTACACGTTGTCACAAGAACCATTCGTGCGTTAAAGCATCATGTATTTTATTTAAGAATGTCACACAAGATATAAAACTATTGTTTGTTTGTTTGTTGTTTAACGCCACACTCAGCAAAATTCCAGCTATATCACGACGGTCTGTAAAATTCGAATCTGGTCAAACCAGTGATTGACATCATGAGCATCTATCCACGCAATTGGAATACGATGACATGCATCAACCAAAATTCGTATTTTCAAGTTTAAGGGTTTGTTTGTTTGTTGTTTTACGCCGCACTCAGCAATATTCCAGATAGACAAATATGTCTTATGTTGCAATGAAGTATGGAATCCAAGAAGGGACATTGTCGCGTTTTCCCTTTGTCGCGCTTTGACACTTTTTGCTTGTTTTTGTAAGGTCGACAATGCGACAACGTTAGAATATCCCTTCTGGGATTCGATAATGAAGCCTTTGTTTGGAGGTAAATAATGCATTAATCTATCCATTCATTCAATTCAGAGGACGTTCCCTGACATGATCATGTTTTGAAAGTACTATTTGTAAAGATTTCTACAAGAGTACTCGTGACAGCTATGCGTGTAGTTTCATCGATTGAAGTCGACCAAATATCTTATTTGAGCACCTACAATAGATTAAATGCACACCAGCGCTCCAATTACATATTGACACAACTCGAACACAAGTATCCCTGAAATCAATCATGGTCATCACGCCAATCCTGACATAATGATTAGCAAAATAGAGATAATAGTTAATGCATTTCACATACATGTAAATCGATATCTGAGACCTTTAATTTATACTTTAATGCACAGAGATTTTGGCAGTTTGTAAATATACATCGTCATGGCCTAGAGCCATAACCAGTCAAGATCCGCTGAAACACATTCCATTGGCGTGAAGTACACAATAGCTGTCAAAATTATCTGAATGAACCACTGAATATCCGTTATAATAGCACATGATGCCTGTAGCAGTCGTCATTCACACAATTTTCATTAAAGAGTAAGTATTTATAGCCTGACACAGCAGTACTCCTGCCATGCGACGGCGGCATGTAATCAAACCAGACAATAAGACGACCGATGAACCAGAAAATCCAGTGAC